AATCCAACACATCAACAAAAAGAAATGTAAAAAACATATGATAATACCAATAGATGCTGAGAAAGCTTTCAACAAAGTACAACACCCATTGATGATAAAGGCCCTTGAAATTCTCGGGATACAAGGAATATACCTCAACATCATAAAGGCCATATATGACAAGCCCATGGCCAATATCATTCTCAATGGTGAAGTTAAAAGCATTTCCATTAAGATCTGGAACAAGACAAAGATGTCCACTTTCACCACTGCTTTTCAATATATACTGGAAGTCCTAGCAGAGCAATAAGACAAGAGAAAGACATACAAGGAATCCAAATTGGGAGGGAAGAAGTTAAACAATCACTACTCACTGATAATATGATAATATACATAGAGAACCCCAAAAACTCTACAGAAAAACTAAACAAACTAATCAATCAGTTTAGTAAAGTAGCAGGATACAAAATCAACACACAAAAATTAGTAGCCTTCCTATACACAATCAATCTGAAGAAGAAGAAATCAAGAAAACCATCCATTTTATTATTGAAACAAAAAAATCAAATACTTGGGAATAAACCTAATAAAAGATGTAAAGGAGCTATACAAAGAAAGCTATAAAACACTGTTAAAAGAAATAGATGAAGGGGCCTCCCCGGTGGCGCAGCGGTTGAGCGCTGGGTTGCGAAGCTGCCCGTGGCCTCTGCGGTGCCGGTTTGATCCCCGGCTGCTCCCCGACCATTGGAGGAGGGTCCCACATGGCGCGCAGACCTCTCCTGCCGCCCGCTGCTCCCCTCAGCAGTGTACTTCGGTACTTCTGCCTGCTCTGCTCCCCGCTCTGGCTCTGGTGAATTCTCTCACCCTCCCGCGCTTCTGACTGTACCCAGTGCATGTACAAACAAACAAACAAATAAATAAATAAATAAAAATACATGCCCCTTTTAAAAAAAAAAAAAAAAAAAGAAATAGATGAAAACACAAAGAAATGGAAAGACACTCCCTGCTCACAGATTGGAAGAATTAACATTATCAAAATGGCCATCCTAGCAAAAGCAATTTATAGATTCAATGCTATTCCAATAAAAATTTCAATGACATTCTTCAGAGAAATAGAACATATATTGATGAAATTCATATGGAACCACCCAAAACCCTGAATAGCCAAAGCTCTCTTGAACAAAAGAGAAGGGAATGGATGTATCATACTCCCAGACTTCAAACTATACTACAAAGCCATAATAATCAAAACTGCATGGTATTGGAACAAGAACAGACACATGGACCAATGGAAGCAAATAGAAAATCCAGAAATAAGCCCACAGATTTATGGTCAACTAATCTTTGACAAAGGAGCAAAGAATGTGCACTAGAGCAAAGAAAGTTTGTTTAATAAATGGTGCTGGGAAAACTGGGTTGCTACATGCAAAAGAATGAAGCTTGACTATTACCTCACACCATGCACAAAAACCAACTCAAAATGGATTAAAGAACTAGACATAAGACCTGAAACCATAAAATATATACAAGGAAATATAGGTGAAACACTATATGACATACACCTCAGTAACATCTGTAAAGACTCATCACCCAAAGCAGTGATAGCAAAGGCAAAGATAAACAGTTGCGACTACATCAAATTTAAGAGCTTCTGTACAGCAAAAGTGACAGTAACCAAAACAAAGAGACACCCCACTGATTGGGAGAAAATTTTTGCACACAACACTAATGATAAAGGACTGATCACAAAAATCTACAAAGAGCTGACGAGACTCAACAAAAACAAAGCAAATAACCCAGTCAAAAAATGGGCAGAAGAGCTAAAAAGAAACTTCTCCAGAGAGGAAATGCAAATGGCCAACAGGCATATGAAAAAATGTTCAACATAACTTGTAATCAGGGAAAAGAAAATCAAAACTACAATGAGATACCATCTTACCCTAGTGAGAATGGCACATATTTAAAAAAAACTAGCAACAACAAATGTTGTCAAGGATGTGGAGAAAAAGGAACTCTCCTGCTCTGCTGATGGGAGTGCAAACTGGTCCAACCACAATGGAAAGCTGTGTGGAGATTCCTCAGCCTACTAAAGATGAAGCTTCCATATGATCCAGCAATACCACTCCTAGGTATTTACCCAGAGGACACAGCAACATTAATTCAAAAGGGCACCTGCACTCCTATGTGTAAAGCAGCACTATTTACAATAGGTAAATATATGTATATACACACACACAATATATCAGCAATCAAAAAAGATAAACTCATGCAATTTGCAGCAACATGGATGGAGCTGAAAGGGATCATGCTCAGCAAATAAGCCAGAAAGAAAAAGAAAAATACCAGATGGTCTCACTCATGGCAGGAATTTAGAAAACCTAAATAAGGGACCAGGAAAAAATCCTAATTATAATAAAGCAAAAATCAAAGTCAACAAGCAACTATAAACCAGAGACACACTACAGGGGGTGGGGGGAGGAAGGAGTAGGATCAAAACAAGGGAGGTGGGAATTATGTGGGACTATAACCAAGAATAAAATGCATACATTGTGCAAAAATGAAAAATGATGTAAAAAATGTATAAAATAAAATAAAAAATACATATAAAATAAAAAATAAAAAGACCTATTTTGTTAAGGAGACCAAGAGAAATTCTATTGACTTATAACAATTTTCCTGCACAATAACAAGAATGAGAAAAAAATCTCTATAGTTAGATAGAATTGATATAAATGACAGTGAAATAATTTTCACTTTATTGAGTGCTGTTTAGTTTTGATGTTTTTAATCTGTATGCATTGTGTTTGTAATTATCTGTCCCAATTTCTTTGCAGTATTTATAGTTTGCTAAAAATTTTTTAAATGGGTATATGTCTAGATTTCCCAATATATGAGTAATGTAAAATTTGATTATTTTTATCACTTATTGCAATATTTAGAATCAGAATTGTGTAAATATTACTGAAAACTTTGTCTTTTCCTAAGTGGGTTAAGAAATTATAGCCCTGACTTTTGTATGCTGAAAAGATGATATAAGAATTCTCAGAATTAGTTATCAAACCTCATTATTCAGAAGAATTAGAAGAGATAAGTGTCTTTAAACATAGTTTATGTAATAAGTACTGAAATTATATCCCTATCTGTTATCCCTATGTACATAATAAAAGCATAAGAAAATAAACCTTCAGAAAATTGTTTTTCCTCTGATGTAAAATAAAACATTATATATTGTTTCAGGATATGAGTCTTTGAAAAGTCAATAATTTGTAAAAAGGGAAAAAAAATTTAATTTAAATTTTCTGATAATTAGCATGTAAATAGTCTTCCATCTTTCCTGTTTAAATGGAGGGCAATTATTTATTCACTTCTTGGCATTCTCAAAAGCACTATTATCAGCTGCTTCTTAAAATTTCTCTTATAGCTTCTGATTAAGCACCCACTACAAGCTACTTGTGAGTTTTAATTTTAATTAATGAGAATAAGTTATTTGGGTCTTATACTAACTTACTTCCCAAGGGTATGATGAAAGGGTAATGGGCCTATAGGGAACCCTAAGTGTGAATTAACCCTTAACTGTCTATCTAGATTCTAAAGACAGAAGTTTTACTGTGTGTGTGTATGTGTGTATGTGTCGAAAATTAGCACATAAGACCAAGTTGCTTGATGAAAAGTCCATAGGATTTTGAGAGAGACTTGGATGTTTTGAGGCTGTTTGTGCCTCAGTTTCCTTATTTGCTCAATGGGAAAGATGGAAATTATCACCTGTTGAAGAAAGTCACCATTTCTGTGGCACACCCTATCCTGTGCTTGCCTGCACCCCTCCCACTGCCCTCTGGAGCGCCTCTTTCCTCAAGTATGGTGCCCCCCTCAAAAAAAAAACAACTAACTTGAGCATGTTCTACTCCTGCAACCCTGAGCAAGTTCCTGAATCTTGCTGAACCTCAGCTTCTCAAACTGTTGACTAGATAATCATTATATCCAATGATAGTAATAATTAAATAATATTGAATAATAATTATTCGTAATTAAATTATTGAATAATTCACAACAAATACTTAGCACAGTTCCTGATTCATAATGAATTTAAAATATTATTCATTGACAAATAATTTGTGAGTTATATTTATAATCATTATTATAGCAAATGCTCAGCAGTGGTTGAGTAAATTATAAACTCACTTGATGAAAATTATATAACTGTCAAGAAAGCTATGTAAATATTGATAGCAGGAATCTAGAAAACTTAAATAAGGGACCAGAAAAAAGAATAACTATAAGAAAGAAAATATCAAAATCAACAAACAACTATGAACCAGAGACACTATTTGGGGGGTGGGGGGTGGGGAAAGAAGGGATTGGGGTCAAAATAAGGGGGTTGTAATTGTATGGGGAATATAAAAATAAAATTTAAATAAAAAAAGAAAGCTATGTAAATGTTGAATACTGTTTATAAATACAATAGTAAGTGGAAAAAACAGGGATCAAATTATCTTTATACCTAGAGGACAACCACATACAATATTTAACTAGAGCCAGACATTCATTTGAAAAATACTGAAAGGAAGCATGAATAGAGCAAAGAGAGAAGGAAGGGAGGGTGATTACATGTACTTATACTACTTTCCTATTAGAAGGGAATTATTAATTTTTGAAAGATTTATTTTATTTGTTTTTACATACAAGAACTGGGGTGCAGGCCAGAGATGTGGGGAGTGAGAAGATTCACCAGAGACCGACTGGGTTGCAGAACAGGCAGATCTACTGAAACACACTGCTGAGGGGAGCAGCAGGCGAGGCAGGAATGGTCTGCTATGCCATGCGGGTCAGCTCCGTGGAGGGAGGGTAACTCATACCACAGTGACTGGCAATAGCTTCATGGTGCTGAGACTTTAAGCCCTCCACTATCAGGGAGGCCCAGAAGAGAATTCTTATTGAAAAAAACAAACCTTGTCTATTTCTTCCAAATGCAAATTTTTGGTGAGGACAAAATAAATATGACAGTTATTTTGTTCTTCCTTCAGTTTCCTGGCGCTGAACGTGAATGCTGTTGGTAATCTCGCTTTTCTGCTGAAAGCAGTGAATTTTCGTGAAAGGGTTCTTCAGCGGGCTTTGGTGGCCAGAATTTATTATAAGGTAAAGATACATTGTGTTATATTTTTCTTTTTTGACATGTGTTTAAGGCATGTTTTTGCTGGTGAACTATCTGCTAAATGTAGTCAAGGATGAGTCAGCTTAATTACAAGCTTCTGGAAATGCCTAGAGTCCTACAGGCCATTTTGTATGGCAGCCTTGCTTGCTGTGGAGGCCAGGATGCACTGTTCAGCCATTTTGCAGTATCTTTTAGAATTCTACCTAGAAGCATCATTTGGCTACCATAGGATTTGATGAGTAATTTTCAGCCTTTACTAGAATTGAAAAATCATTGTTCTCTCTGTATAATGAAGGCATTGTTCTATTGTCAGGGGGTGGGGAGTGGGGGCTTGAGGTTCGTGTCTGGCAAATGAAAAAAACTGACCATTGGATTTGCCTAAGATACACTCTATCTCCTATTAAAATACCCATGACACTGCAAAATTATAAAACCTTGTATCACCATTGATAGAAATCTATAAGAAATTCCACTGAGGACAGTGCCACTGGAATTGGTTTGAGGAAATGCCCCAACCTCACCCCAACAAGATCTGTTTCATCTTCTAATGCTAATAAGGAATTGCAACCAGACCCAGAAGAGGGCTTTACTCATCCTGCCCTGCAATCCTTAGGCTCTCAGGGATGCTGTAACCTGATACCAGACCACCATTCCCCTTTATGCATGGAAATTAGGTTCTAAGTGGACAAGAAATGAGCCCCAGATAACTCTTCCCCTTCAGTTCATTTTTTTTTTTTTTATGTCAATTCCAAGGTTGTGTCTCCCAGTACAACACAGAGCGAGTAGAAGGGAGAGGTTGGATATTCTCTTAGGAAATGCTCTGGAGTCAGAAGTGCAGAAAGTGGCAGGAACCTGGACCAGGGTTGTGCAAATCAGTCTACTCTTTAGGTATAGTCTGAGGTGAGGCCCTGTCAGACACCAGGGGTACATCCATATGGGCTTAAGTCACTCCATGTTCCCTGCCTTTATCATGGAGTCAACCCAAACAAGAGAAGGCTATAATCTAAGACCAAAGCACTATAGATGCACAGGAGAGCAGAATTGACAGTAGGTAAAATATTAGATGTGAATTAGCCTTCTAAGATTTTATTTTTTTAAAAGATTTACTTATTTATGCATACTGGAACTTGGATACAGGCCAGAGGTGTGGGGATGGGGGGTGAGAGGATATACCAGAGACAGAGTGGGGAACAGAACAGGCAGATCAACTGAAATACACTGCTAAGGGGAGCAGCTGGCGAGTCAGGAGAGGTCTGCTGAGCCATGTGGGTAGCTCTGTGGCCGGGGATCCAACTCATGCTGCAGTTGCTGCAGACAGCCTCATAGGTTGTGTCTTAATCCCTTGCACCACCAAGGAGGCCCCTAGTCTTCTACGATTTTAGAACAAAAGATAAAAATGAAATTGTACGAGATAAGATAGACACAGTGTAAAAGAAATCCAACCTATAGATAACAATATTCCTGAAAATGCTGGAACAATAGGAGCATATAATCTCAGAGATAACAGAAAAATATTTTCCTTAATGTATTAAAAAATCAAGATTTTAATGGAAAATTATCATACCTAACTATGGTTTGCAAACTAGGGTGAAAAGAACATGGTGTAAGCAACCAGACAGAAAATATTTTCCCACAATGGGGAAAAATAATGCTAACTTAAGTCTTTACCACCAGCTCAAGTGGAGTAATAACTGTTCTTCTAAGGAGGAATTCCACGATCTAAGCATACTATTTCAACGAAATTTAATTTATGAGGGCCTCCCTGGTGGCGCAGGTGGTTGAACGCAGCGCTGTGGAGCTATCCACGGCTTCTGCAGTGCCGGTTAGATCCCTGCCGGCCTCAGAGCAGCCCACATGGCCAGCAGACCTCTCCTGTCTAGCCCGCTGCTCCCCTCAGCAGTGTATTTAAAAATAAAAAAAATTCATGAGTACAGGCAGTGGAAAGATATTTTCAAATGTCTGAGAATCAGAAGGAACATGATTCTCCTAAAAAATCATTCAAAGGCCTACTGTATAGGACATTAAAAAGAATCAAAATTAATAACTTGAAAGGATTAGTGAAAGATAGAAAAGGATTAGTGTTACCTATGAAACCAAACAGCAAGTCTGTGCTTTTGTAAAATATTTATAGTTAAATGCATAATATCTGTATTTTGGGGAAAAGAATCTGTTTTTTGGAAAAAACATGAATAAAAAAATCTTGACTAATTGGTTCTATAATAGATTGAGTTTATAATATTTTTTAAGGTAAGATAAAAGCTAAAGTAAAGTAAAAACATTCTTAATTTCTTGCTCTAATTGCAGGGTAGGCCAATGACATTGTTTTGTTTGACTTTGATCATTAGAGAAACTTAGGTTAAAATATATGTTTCATTAAATTGCAAGTCAATGTGAATACTAAACACAGGATGCTTGTTTCCAAATCACTACAGAAGACAAAGCAAAAAAGATAAATAAGTAACCAGATGTTTGTGTTAATCAGAGGAAGAGCAAAGAACAAATCAGAAAGCATGTTTTTAGAGACCTGAAGACCCTCCAGTGCTGCTTCTTTCCATGTGCCTACCCCACAGTGGAGCAGGGGCGTGGGGACAGTTGTTTTTAGGGATTGTCACTGCCGTTTGCTCCTTGCTTTGAGAATTCCTCCAGGATTGCTTCCCAAAATTGTGTCCTGTGGTGTTCCCTTTTTCTCTGTCTCACGTGGCATATAAATCCCATCTCTCTGGCTCCATAGCGCGTATTCAGTGAGTCCAAAGGGCCTCTGAAAAGAGGCCTCAGAGAGCCTCTCATTAAGCTATAGAGTTTCTAGGGCACTTAAGGGCTTTGTCCTCTAGCCTTCAACACCCATGGACCTAGATTTGTGGATGTGACTTTCATCTAATGGGCTGGACTCCAAAAAAGACTCATGGAAGATGTTTAAAGTTTTAAAGAGAATCATATCAACCACACATGTTTTAGCTTATGCTGAAAGGTCCCCAGTGCAAGATGGTGGAGTCTTGGAGCCAGCTATGCTTCTGCAGGCATGAAGCAGGCTGAGTGAAATGCTCAGCCACGAACATGGACTACCTTTTATGATAAAGGCAGGGAGTAGAACCCAGAACTCAGAGGGTGGGGCCTCAGAGAATAAAAACTCCTGGGCACTGGATAGGACAAATCTTAATCAAGGAACATCTGCTAATTGCTTAACTGGATTTCAGAATTTCTATGGATTACTGACCCATATATTCTTCCCATTTCTTTCTTTTTGAGCAAGAGTATATGGAGTAGTTATCTTATTCCTACCCCAAAATTGTATGTTGGCCATGTAGGAGACAGATACCTTGCTTTTTAGTTAATAACGTTCAAATCAGAAGAACTGTACTTAAGAAATGACACCTGACTACCATTACCTATACCTAGGCTGGAGGTAGATGAAGAGATTCTGGAATTAGAACCAGTGTGTAATGGGATGAGACTTTGTGGGTCTTAGAAATGGCTGAGGTTACACTGTGATAGAGAGAGTCCATGATGTTCTTCAGTGGTCCATACCATCTGGTAGTCACAACTGATGTGGTCCTCATCTTGTGCCAGAGTTGGTGTGTTTAACCAATAGAATACGCCAGAAGTTGATAGTATGTCCTTTTGAGATCATGACTTCTATGTAAGTTTCTCTTTCTACTTCTCCCTTCCACCCCCTTTTCCTCTCCTCTCTCTCCTCTATCCCCTTCTGTCAGTCAGATCCTCACTCTTGGGCAGCCCATGGAGTGGACAGTCCATGCAGTGAGGAATTGAAACACCTCTTGCCCAAAGCTATGAAGTGTTTCCACCACCCCTGCCCAGATCTTTAAAGACCGCAAGGACTGTTGACTGCAAGTCAACAACTTGACTATAACCTCAGGAGAGTGTCTGGGCCACAAACACACAATCAAAAGCATGCCCAGATTCTTAGCCTTCAGAAACCATATTCTTTTTCTTTTTTTTTTTAAGATTTTTCATTTATTTATACAAGCACTGGGTGCAGTCAGAAGTGCGGGAGGGCGAGAGAATTCACCAGAGCCAGAGCGGGGAACAGAACAGGCAGACTGACGAAATACACTGCTGAGGGGAGCAGTGGGCACGGCAGGAGAGGTCTGCATGCCATGTGGGACCCTTGCCGGGCAGCCAGGGATCAAACCGGCCCTGCAAAGGCTGCAGGCAGCTTTGCAGCCCAGCACTCAACCGCTGCACCACCAGAGGAGACCCCGATAATAAGGTTTCTTTTTTGTTTGTTTTAAGATGCTAAACTTGGAGAAATTGCAGGTACTAGATAATTAATTGAGCATCTGAAAGCAAAAGTGTTCAATAGCTTTAGCGTTAATATACTCATCATTTCAAAAATATACTAAAAGCAATTATAATATTTATAAACTAATATTTCAATTTAATAACATAAGGTGGTATTCTTCCTATGTCAACAGGAACATGATCATTCAATATTCTGCTTATGATGAGCAACATTTGCAACATGATTTTGGAAAAGCAGTGAAGTGGTGATTTACACAGGACGCTATGGGACTAGGCTGTCTTCATGGTCACCTACACATCCAAGGGTATTTTCTAGCCCCACTCTGAGTTAAATTATGAAGACACCAAGGAAGGGAAGGCAGGATCAGATGACAGGATATTCTGATGCTTCTAGTTTTTCTGTTATGGATATAAGAACATTTTTATCACTGTACATTCTCTGCAAATGTTGAACCTAATCAGACTTCCCCAGGATCCACATTTCTCTACACCCATTTTTTTTACACTTCATTTATCTCCAACTTTCTCACTTTTTATCTTCAGGTTTTGGGAGTCTATCATCTTTCATATTTTTATTTTATTGATATTAGAAAAACAGTTTCACTATACAATATTTACTTTTAACTCTCAGCATGATATTAAAAGCTCTCTGATACTTTTAAATATTCAGAAAGGTTTTTTTGTAATTGTTCTCTGGTTTCGAGAAAAATAAAATTTTGCACAC